CAAGTTATCCCCTTGACGGACACCTATAGCTATTGGAAATGGATCCGAGAAGAACCTTCCAATTTTCACACATGCCTGACTATTCTTATATATATTACTTATAATATTATAAAATTTAGATCCAACATTCATGTGAAGTAATTTGAGCTTTAATCCTGTGTGGATAACACTGTCAAAAGCTTTATGAAAGTCAATAAAACAAGCATATAGTCTTCCTTCTTTTAAGCTACAGTATTTATCAATTAAACATCTTAGCACAAATAGATGATCAGATGTTCTTGCATCTTTGGTAAAACCCATTTGAGATTGGTGAATTAGATTATGTTCTTTAAGAAATTTATCTAATCTAGAGTTCAGAATGCTGTTGAATAACTTGCCAAGTGTGCTGGTAATTGTAATACCCCTATAATTTGCAGGGTTGTTTGGATCCTCAGACTTAAAAATTGGACTTATGTACCCGTTACTCCAAGTTTGAGGATAAATACCATATGTGAAACAACTATTAAAGAGCTTATGTATACAGGAGAGTAAATAGGACTGACTATGTTTTAACATTTCATTAGATATCAAATCAAGCCCCTTGGCTTTTCCATATTTTAAATTTGCTATTGCATCTACAATTTCCTTATGTGAAATCTTGAAATCCAGTTCATTAAAGGATGGATTTTCCTCCATGTCAGCCAAAATTGAATCTAGCTCTTGTATCCTTGATTTAAAAGAGTTATCACAAACAGAATGAAGGTTGCGAAAATGATTTACCCACGTTTCAGAATCTATGTTTGCAGCAGAATTGTCTTTATTATTATCTTTTAGGTCATTAATTAATTTCCAATATTGTTTTGGTTGTTTATTTTGAAGTGCATCAAGTTGATTTAGAATGGAGTTTTGGAAATTTTTACGCTTAAATTTTCTTAATTTATTGTACTCTCTAAGAAGTCTGTAGTAATGATTCTTAACAACTGGATCCTTTGGAAATATGCTATAAATTCTTCCATGCGCAATCAATCTACGGCGCATTGTTTGCAAGTCTGAATCAAACCATTTTTTATTTTTATGCTTTTTAATATTCTTACTTTTATGACCTGGCTTATTTAATGACATGTTAGCAGCAGTTATGATAATGTCATTGAATTCTTCTGCCTTTTTCTCGATATCAGTAGAAGTAGATTCTGTAATAAAAGAATCTAAAAAAGACTTGATTTTTTCTTGTATCCTATCTGAACTTAGAGCCATCTGAAATTTAATAGGGGAATCTTCATTCCATTTAAAATTTTGAGGGGCGGGATGCAAGGTTCTGGCATTAGTAGCATTTGAATTAATTTCCTTAAATTTTGCTAAAACTTCCCATGATATTTTACAGTGACAATCAGAAAGAGTTGGGATAAAATTTGATACCCTAAAATATAGAATTTGTTTAACTAAGTGTTCACTTGCAACAAGGTAGTCAACTGTGCTTTGACCATGTGTGTTAAAACATGTGTAATCACCAAAAATATCCCCCATACATCTACCATTAATAATTCTCAACTGATTACTAATACAAAAATCAATCAATTCTTTACCTCTTTCATTTAAAATGACATCACGATTACTACGTTTACAAAAATTATCATCAATCTTATATGTTTTACAAAGAGGAAGGTACCTTACATCATCATGTTCTATAAAATCATCTGATGAAGCAGTGCGTGCATTCATATCCCCACAAATCATAATTTCCCCCTTATACTTAAACTTATTAACATCTTTCTCAATAATTTCAATAACATCATAATTTAACTTTTGAAAGTAAGTTGAATTCGAAGGTGGAATGTAACATGCACAAAGATAAATATCATTTTGAAGATTAAAAAACCTTTTTTCTATCTTAATCCACTGAAAATCTTTCTGGGTACCTGGTAATAACTTAATATGTTCCTTAATACAATTTTTACGAAAAATGCCAATTCCCCCATAAAATCTTCCATTTGCAGACATGTCCCTACATACAGGGAAGTATGTAAAACCATCAATAAAAAGATTGGTATTATACCCAACATGTGTTTCACTTAATATAATAATATCATAGTTTTTCACCTCCTTCAAAAATAATTTGTCATTTAGTTTATTCTCACCCTGTGTAAAAATTCCTCCAACATTCCAATAACAAATTTTTATGCTATTTTTATACATATACTTGTCCATTTTGGACCCTTAACTGTATTCTACTGTGATAAAATTTATACAAATAAAGAAAATTAACTAAGTTATAATTTTAAGGTTCACCAGTTTCAGATCTACAGAACAACTTGAATTACAATTAACCACCCTTGTGTTGATGGCCCTTTCCATGCTCAACGAAAATAGTTCGGACTTTTTCTAAGTTGGCGGTTATAATTATCGTTCCGGTACTGATGATTCCAGCTTAAACTGCTCCTATAGTAATTGTTACGGTTATTCGCCTGGAAATACTTTTCCTGGTTGTTGTAGTTCGACCTATTTCGATACTTATTTGTATATCCCTTGGAGTTGTTGCCGATTTTTAATACGGTGTGCATTGCTCTCTTCATGTTGGACGCTAATATGGATGTTCCCTTCGGAGACAAGTGAAATTTGTCATTGGGATTCAGTAGTTCGATTGTAGGTAGATGTCCATGCCACATGTTTTCGTTGTCAGAAATATAAACTCCAGGATACTCCATGTAGTCTCTCTTTATTATCCCATCCAGGATCTCACAGTTTACCTTGTGCAAGGAGTTGTCTTCTCTTGGTGTGGTTAGAGATATGATGGTGTGAACGTCCTTCCACTTCTGTTTAATAACCTCAACCACCCCTTGTAGTTTCTCGGCACATTTTTCAGGACTAATATTTCTAACATCATTTGTTAGAGAATGAAGAACTACTACATCAGGTATGCACGAAGAGTTAATGATAACATTCTTTGTTTCATCCAGAGTAAAAGCTGTTACTTTAGTAACGTTTACGTCTGATGTAAGTTTATCCTCTTTTATGCCATTCACGTTAGAAGTACCTATTAACAGGGCCATTGGTTTTTTATTCTTCCCAGCACTGACTACCAGGTCTGTCATCTCTTTTGCCCTGCTGGTTTCAGTGTCCTTTCCACCACTCATGAACATGCTAGAGAGCTGAGATTTAAGGGACAAAATTTCATTGAACTGGTTATCAACATTTTTTCTCAGTGATTTATTTTCATCCATGAGTTGATCATTTTCCTCATTTTTTGTGTTAAGTTTTTCAGACAAGTGTTCATTTTCATGTTTCAAATTCTTGACTTCTCTTCTCAATGTCTCATCCATGGTGTTGTTTCTTGCTTTTTCTGCTTTCAGCAGGGATTCCAATCTCGCATTTTCTACTGTTAAGTTGTATTTATCTGTGCGTGTCTGATATAATTGTTTTTCAATATCAGCTATATGAGACTGAAGTTTATCTGAGTTTGTGTCATTGGTCTGCTTATCCTTCAAAGATTTCATTGTATTGAACTGGGTCTGCAAATTGTTTACAGTTCTGGTCACTTTCTGTAATGAATCAGACAGACTTTTCTCCACCCTCGATACTAGTGTTGTTTGTGTTTCAGTCAACTTGGACAACGATTCAACAAAAATTTCCTGTAATTTTTCGAAATCCTTGTATGTAACTTGGGGAGTTTCAGTATTATCTGAGGATGACAAACCTGTTTCTTCCATTTGGTCCTTTGACATAGCTTCGTTTGTTGTTTTTAATATTAGGTTTCATCATCAGTGTCCTCAAACACATTGTCAGCTACCTCATTGTGAACAGCTCTAGTAGATCTTTCATAGTCGCAAATAGCATTGACCAGGGAAAGAAGCATTGGGAAATCATTGCATGCAAAGATCTCGTGTTGTAACCCTTGTGCTTGGATTACTCCTGTGTTAACAAACAAAGTAACTTTGTACAGTAAATGTGGTTCTTTCAACAATCCAATGCAGATTGATTTGTTACCTTCGTCAAGCCATTCATTTGGTTCGTCATACCAGTCTACTAAGTATGATCCTTCCATCTTTCCATAATGTTCATAATACAATACACCCAGAGCTCTTATCCATGCTTCCAATCTCTCCCTCGTAATCCGAAACGCCACCATGTGCGCTGACGGTTCATATAACGAAGTGTCTATCTTTTCATATTCAAGTTTCTTTGCTTTAGGTCCTGATGGATTTTTAAAATTGTCAGGTAAGCACTGTTGTGGGTATTCCTTGTATATACTTCTCACAGACAAGTCCACCTCATCTAGATTAACTTTAAAAGGTAAACTTCTCACCCCCGCCATTTTGATTTTGGCGCCATCTCTGTCCTCGATATCGTTAATGTTTATAGATTTAACACTTTCACCCATATTGAACTTCAATCTACTGTATGTAAATTTGTACGCAAGGTAGAATCTCTGTATTATTAAATACCTTTATACCAATCTACATTCATTCCACAGAAAGGGACAAACAACGCTGGCTAGTTTTTCACCAACCATGCATCCATAACCGGAACCATTAAGTGTAGTATGTAGGTGATATGCATTTGTCATTTTATGAAAGAGGTAAAGAAAAAAAGAGGTTTCCATGCTTTATTACAATATTTGTAAATGAAAACTTTTATTTTCATGGAATAGAATTACATGAACGAGGACATACATGTGCATTTTTTCAAAGAAGTCGGTCAGGCTACAGTTGTGTAGAAGTTAAGCAGTGTGTGTGTGAACATGCACACTAACATTTTTTTTTATATTTTATTAACTGGATTACATGTATTTGTCTAATGTATAATTATTGTCAGTTACATGCTTTTTACCTGTATTATTAATTTACATGTAATTTAACAATGCTGAGACTAATCAGTGCAAATTCATAATTTTCAATTGATATCAACCAATTAAGGGCATCAGGGAATGTTGTAGGATTGTGTGTGTTTGATGTCTGTCTGTGAATGTTTTAGGTGCTTTTTGATGCTGATTAATTATTGCACCATTTTTTAAATTGATTTTTTTTTAGGTTCATGGTGATACAGGTTAACTTTGAGGTTCATGCAGATGGTGTTTAAAACTATCAGTCAGGAAAAACAAACTCATTTGAACACAGCTTGAGTCTTCATATATAAAATGATGGCAGTACTTTTAATATGTAAGTTGAATTTTCTAAAGCTTCTTTGTGTGTATGTGTGTGTGTGTGCGGGAGGAGGGGGGGGGGGGTGTTAAAGCTTAGTAAATGTAGATTTTAAATGAATATTTGAGCAATGAAAGTGAACATCAAACTAATCTGTACATGTATGCTATATATTTTACAGCTAATATGTTTTAAAGAGAATTTCAAAATAGTTACATTCATAGTGTTGTGTATGATAAAATATTAAGATTAAAAAATATAAGAGTTGAAATTTCTTTAATATTTGTCAGTCAGAATGAGCGACTTGTAAGGAAATTCAAAACTTTCAAAGTTCTCTTTCATTTTCCTACAAATTACAAAATGGTTACCATGGAAACAAAACATTTTCTGTAGACTATTTATTTGATCTGCTCATGCAAGTATTTTTGTTATTTTATAGTTATAATGAATATTTTAGTTCTAATTTCAACTTTAATTAAAAGTATGGGAAAAGTAACACTACATGTGTAATAAGCAATCCATTATTATGATGTCATTATGGCGTCATAGATGAGTGACCTTGCATTGGCGTAAAAATTGCTTTGAAACAGATGAATGTTTACAAGAATATAAGGGCTTATAACTTCTTTATTCCTATACCAATTTTCCTGAATGATGCATCAATGGACAGGAAATAATCAGTACTTTCTATTTTTACTACTTTCGGGGTATTTGTAAACTTAATTTTTTTGTCAATCATGGAGAAACAATGAATTCAAGGGTGAGGGATATAAAATTTTGTGCAAAAATGCATTGATTTTTTAAAATAAGAGAAATGGACCCGTATGAGTGCTTGATTATGATTTTGCTTGATGTATTTAAAATTATGAAAGAGAATTAAAATGGTATAAGTACATTAATAGGCTAACCGATGACTTAAAATTTGGGTGCAGTTGTGGCTAGATGGAAGCATTTTAAAAGAATTTTGCATATAGAACTGTGCATGCTGTAAAATCTTTATTAATGACTGAATTTTCCTGAAGTTTGGCATAATGTCACTACATAGTTTGTAGTATGACTTATGATGTTAAATGTTGTAAAATCCAGAAAATTCTTTTCATATTGGGTACATACCTCTAATTATTTTTAGAATCGGTAGGAGAAGAAAGTAGTGCAGAAAAAATTACAAGTTTTTTAATTTGCAGACCTGAGTAAAAAAAACTGTGATAAGGTATTAAACTGAGCCTCATACTTGATGATAAGGAGTATGTTCCCTTGCAAAAAAGCTTGGCAGATGTAATTTATCAAGAAGATCAGCAGAATTATTTTATGTATTATAACACCAGTGAGAAGTCTTGAAATCCCCTACTTTCACTTTCATTTTCAGAGGTTAACGCAGACAGACGCATTTTGCCGGAAAACGAATCTGACATGCCACCTCGAGATTTTAACCAAGGAAAGACAACTTGATGTGCTTTGATTTGAGGGGTCACTCAATGCTGAACGAAAATTAGGGACATTGCTATGTGAAGAAATGTTAACATTGCCGCCTATGGGAAAACAATTAGTGGGCTGTACCCAATATGTGAAGCCTATTGGTAAGTGAAAATTCTCATAGATCTTTACTTTGTTTTGAACTCGGTGTTTACTATCATTTCCAATTGTTTAAATTTATGAAAGAAGCAAATTTTAATTTGTTTATACATATTTTGAAACAAATCGATTTGTTAATACCCCCCCCCCCCTTTTTAGGAACAGACAGCTTATGCGCATATATGCATATCTCCCATTGTGTACACATGTAGCATGTAAATTAAATGTATCGATTCTATACAATTTATTAATTTTGAGCCATTAATAGATATTTAGAAAAGGAACAATTATTTTAGAAGTACATCCACCACTATTGTTTATCATCAATACACAAAAGTTCAGAAATGAGGTCGGAATCAGTATTCAGTGAAGTTCAAGGTCAAAGTGAAAGTAGAATGGCAGTAAGTTATCAACACTGCTTAGTGCAGCTATGCTACCTAATGCAGAGTCTTGCAGTATGTAGGTGATATGCATTTGTCATTTTATGAAAGAGGTAAAGAAAAAAAGAGGTTTCCATGCTTTATTACAATATTTGTAAATGAAAACTTTTATTTTCATGGAATAGAATTACATGAACGAGGACATACATGTGCATTTTTTCAAAGAAGTCGGTCAGGCTACAGTTGTGTAGAAGTTAAGCAGTGTGTGTGTGAACATGCACACTAACATTTTTTTTTATATTTTATTAACTGGATTACATGTATTTGTCTAATGTATAATTATTGTCAGTTACATGCTTTTTACCTGTATTATTAATTTACATGTAATTTAACAATGCTGAGACTAATCAGTGCAAATTCATAATTTTCAATTGATATCAACCAATTAAGGGCATCAGGGAATGTTGTAGGATTGTGTGTGTTTGATGTCTGTCTGTGAATGTTTTAGGTGCTTTTTGATGCTGATTAATTATTGCACCATTTTTTAAATTGATTTTTTTTTAGGTTCATGGTGATACAGGTTAACTTTGAGGTTCATGCAGATGGTGTTTAAAACTATCAGTCAGGAAAAACAAACTCATTTGAACACAGCTTGAGTCTTCATATATAAAATGATGGCAGTACTTTTAATATGTAAGTTGAATTTTCTAAAGCTTCTTTGTGTGTATGTGTGTGTGTGTGCGGGAGGAGGGGGGGGGGTGTTAAAGCTTAGTAAATGTAGATTTTAAATGAATATTTGAGCAATGAAAGTGAACATCAAACTAATCTGTACATGTATGCTATATATTTTACAGCTAATATGTTTTAAAGAGAATTTCAAAATAGTTACATTCATAGTGTTGTGTATGATAAAATATTAAGATTAAAAAATATAAGAGTTGAAATTTCTTTAATATTTGTCAGTCAGAATGAGCGACTTGTAAGGAAATTCAAAACTTTCAAAGTTCTCTTTCATTTTCCTACAAATTACAAAATGGTTACCATGGAAACAAAACATTTTCTGTAGACTATTTATTTGATCTGCTCATGCAAGTATTTTTGTTATTTTATAGTTATAATGAATATTTTAGTTCTAATTTCAACTTTAATTAAAAGTATGGGAAAAGTAACACTACATGTGTAATAAGCAATCCATTATTATGATGTCATTATGGCGTCATAGATGAGTGACCTTGCATTGGCGTAAAAATTGCTTTGAAACAGATGAATGTTTACAAGAATATAAGGGCTTATAACTTCTTTATTCCTATACCAATTTTCCTGAATGATGCATCAATGGACAGGAAATAATCAGTACTTTCTATTTTTACTACTTTCGGGGTATTTGTAAACTTAATTTTTTTGTCAATCATGGAGAAACAATGAATTCAAGGGTGAGGGATATAAAATTTTGTGCAAAAATGCATTGATTTTTTAAAATAAGAGAAATGGACCCGTATGAGTGCTTGATTATGATTTTGCTTGATGTATTTAAAATTATGAAAGAGAATTAAAATGGTATAAGTACATTAATAGGCTAACCGATGACTTAAAATTTGGGTGCAGTTGTGGCTAGATGGAAGCATTTTAAAAGAATTTTGCATATAGAACTGTGCATGCTGTAAAATCTTTATTAATGACTGAATTTTCCTGAAGTTTGGCATAATGTCACTACATAGTTTGTAGTATGACTTATGATGTTAAATGTTGTAAAATCCAGAAAATTCTTTTCATATTGGGTACATACCTCTAATTATTTTTAGAATCGGTAGGAGAAGAAAGTAGTGCAGAAAAAATTACAAGTTTTTTAATTTGCAGACCTGAGTAAAAAAAACTGTGATAAGGTATTAAACTGAGCCTCATACTTGTTGATAAGGAGTATGTTCCCTTGCAAAAAAGCTTGGCAGATGTAATTTATCAAGAAGATCAGCAGAATTATTTTATGTATTATAACACCAGTGAGAAGTCTTGAAATCCCCTACTTTCACTTTCATTTTCAGAGGTTAACGCAGACAGACGCATTTTGCCGGAAAACGAATCTGACATGCCACCTCGAGATTTTAACCAAGGAAAGACAACTTGATGTGCTTTGATTTGAGGGGTCACTCAATGCTGAACGAAAATTAGGGACATTGCTATGTGAAGAAATGTTAACATTGCCGCCTATGGGAAAACAATTAGTGGGCTGTACCCATGTGTCTTGTATAATCATATTAATCTTCTATACTGATGGTCTGTATTGCCTAAGGTTGCATTGACTGAATAAAGTAAAACCAATTATTTTGATACTTGTGCGTGCAATTCCCCACCTTTCATTTTTCAACTTTGTTAATAGTTTTAGTATCTGTGAAATCGTTCTTATATTCAAGTGCAAATTATTTAGGCAATGTTTCCTTTGTAGATCACATGTTTGCAGTTCGATCCTGAGCTTTTGAGCAGATTTTGGTCTGGACCTTTATTTCTAAAATTCTGCATCATTTTAAGTTCTAACATTAAATCTGGATTCTACAATGAAAATTAAACTATATCCAATGAAAAAACGCGATTAAATTCCATTCAAATAGGATCAAGCCAGGAACTAAATTTTGTGGTGGAAGTTTTTTTTTAGAAATATATACAGCACTGTTAAGTTTAGATTCCTATTTTTCCATGCTGGTTGCAAACAGCTGTTTTTGTTTGTTTGTTTGTTGTTTTTTTTTTTTACAGTGAAATGTTTTATGCTGGTTCTGAAATATCTATTAAAATTATTTCTTATGAATTCTTTCATCATATTGTGACAAGTATAGAAAATATATTCTGAAAGTCCAGGAAAAAATTGAGCCAATTTTAACATAAAATTAATTCTAATAATATCTAAAAATTTACATCATAGACCCCCACTTTTGTTTTTCTTTTCTGAATATATATAAGATAACTTTGATCAATCTGCTTAAATTCAGCAAAAGTTTAAGACTTTAAAATAATTTTCTTGCTTGTTAAATTTTTAATGCCAGAAAAATCACATATTGTGAGTGCAGAAAGGTCAGATAATTGATTATACGAAGCAATTTGAAACTTTTTCTTGGTCACAATTTTAACGTGTCTTTTTTTAATAGACCAATAGTTTATTTTGTTCCATGATTTATTTGGATAAAAACGTTGGAGAGAAAACGTCGAAGATGTGATTTTTGATTAAGACAAAAGTCATATTAAATGTACTGTAGCACCAAAAGAAGCATATTGACCTCCATTTTTCGATTTGATTTTTAATTAAACTATGTTTGTAGAAACTAAAAATATACTTGAAAAAAGGTTTAAGACTTTAAATATCAGGATCCAACGAGATGTACTTTAAATCTGATTGTTTCACAAATGTTCTGAAAATGTAAAATAGAGAATAAAACACATAAGGAAGAATGCTCCGATTAGGATTCCAAAGTTAACATTTATCTTCATATTCATAAAGATAGTGATATCTAAAACATAACAATTTTATTAAAAGAAAAAAAGTCAAATGCTTTTTAAAGGTGTTTTCTTGGGGATTATTTTTTGTGCGGGATTTCAAGCAAGAAATACATACAGATTTGCTTATTTTAATTTTTTTTAATTGGCTTTTAAACATCTCCTGAAAAGAAGTAATCACACAACTATTTTTTCAGACATCAGACAAATAGTAGAGATTTAACTCTAGTTTATCGAATTTGAAAATAAACCAATGGATGTTTTATCAAAATACACAAGGCTTAAATTCACAAAAATTCTGGAAAAATAATTTCATTTTTTTTTTTCATTAAAATTTATTTATTACCTCCACAACTTGATAAAGTGGAATGTGACCCCATGTTTTTGTTCTAGATATACAAAATAGAAGATGTAGCAATAATATTCATGCCGAATTTTTTAAAATGACTTAACTTCTTCACTAAATTTTAGAAACATAAACTTAAATTTTCTTATTTTTAAGTGCAAAAATGTCATGACTCATATTTTAGACATCAAAAGTGATTTTTTTTAAACAAAACTATTAATAGTATCCTTGGATATTCATTTACATAAAACGTATTGTCATGTTTATAATATTTTCTTTGAAACAGCAGTAGCTTAAATCAATATTTCATACTTTTCCAAGTACAAATAGGTCAAGTTCAAATATCTTTCACTAAGAGATAACGCATGTGTCACCGATATTTCTCTATAGCATTTTTATTTTTTATCATAGTAGATATACTTCATGAAAAATTGACATTACAATACTTTCAGATGCGTACCTCTTTAAATTGATTGTTGATAATGAAATGTCACTAGATGGGGCTTCCGTAATCAGTGCGAATCATCAACAATGAGTATTTCATTATTTTATATTAGTGCTATGGAATTAATATTCATTATTTTGACGATTCTAAAATGGTAACAGAAAATGTAGCATCAGCATGTTCGCAAGCAGGTGACACCAATGGTTTATTGAACGTTCTGCATAGATCTTTACATATATACATTTATAGTATTCAGCTCTATGGTGTTGTAAATTTTGAATGTACAACTTTTTTTTCTGTCTCCCGGTAAATTAAAAATTTACATAACAATTCCCCCAAGGTTTTTTTTAAATACAATATTAAATTATTTAATTACTGTCAGAGATACCCCCCAAAAAGTTGTGTTTTTTTTCTAACGCACGTGCCATTATAAAATTTTCTAATTGCAGCAGATAATATTGATTATAATTACTAGTTTATGTAATTCGAAGTAATGGCCAATTACATTTTTTTCTTTATATTTAATGACATTTATGATAAAAAAAATTAAATTCAAGAATTAGCCAAAAAAAAAAAAATACTACAGTATACCGCACTTAATGCATAAAATCAAAATGTATTGTAAATATAAATATTTACAATGTATAACGTTTTTATCATGCAGTGTTTCTCTGTCCACAAGCCCTTTTTTGCGTAAATGTTTGCATGCCATTTTAGCTGGGATGCTTCTCCTTGTTCAACAATGCTGATCTTGACTTTCTTCAAGTCAAAGACAGCACGCATGTGCACTTCACTGATTGTTCTTGAGTCTGAAGGGATGGGCTAAAGGGATGGGATAAGGTGTATTTTAACCATTATCATTGCCGAGGAGATACGACTAATTTCCAATCTATAATATTTTGCTCTTTCGTGCTTTTCGAACTTTTTCAATGAAATTCTTCCATACCAAAGGTTTTCGTCCCCGAGAGTTTGTTTCTTAATACACTATCATCAGTGTCGCCGTATCCCTAATCAAGGGTCTTAAAAGCTGCTACTGGGGTTTTGGAAGGAAGTGAATAAATGGACACTTAACATTCCCCTCTGATTCTAATACCAACTGCAAACAAAGTTATCTTAAGAGTCAGTGATTGTTGCTGTAATCCGTAACAATAAGTCCGAATGATTGCAAAACTACCTCTGATAACAAAAGGACTTGTCATTTACCTGCCGGATTGACATAAACATTTTATTGGACAAATTCGTAGGGCGACAAATTTGTGAGAGTTCGCCATATGTTCAAACTGTAGATAAACTCTGCCAAGTGTCAATCTTTTTCTATAATCAAGCCAGCGATTGAGAACTCAGACTTGTTTAATTTTGGAAAACAGTATTGTTTTTTCGCGATGCATCACCACAACATTCATAGTAGCTGCTGTCAGCATGAATGAACTCTTCATCACAATGTACCTTGCTGTCTTGACTTTGGTGACCGTCCAGTGTTTTCATATTTCCAGTGACCCATTCGTACCCACCGCCTACAGTATAAACGATTTGCCGAACAAATCACAGGATGAGAATAAGAAAATCCTGAAAATTAAGTTACAAAGACTTCTATATGGTCTAAAAGAGGATGAGAGCGTGAAAATACCAGATGAACAATTTTGGTTTAACAGAGATGTTCTTAGAATGAAAGGCGCAGATAAAATGAAAACGACTTCTCCACAAGATGCCGAACAGGAGTCTCCCGCAGAAACGGACGAGGAATCCCTCTATGATGAGCTGATTTTTCATTTAGTTTACAAAAGGTTTGGAAAATGTATTCACTTTCCGTTGTATTCTCCTAAGCCAATTTATATGGTTAATAAATGTCCACATGACTCCACTGATGATCAAGCCGTATTGCTGTGTCATGGTCACCATAAACAATTTGTAGAAGAACAGCACAAGTGTGTTATAGACTTGCAGCATATCCCAGTTCAAGATTTACATGGAGTCGTGTACAGAAATGTCTATTGTTCGCGTTGCCATGGAGCACACAATGTAAGTTCCTGGACCGCTGACTTAAAGTTTAATGACATACCTGTTCTTAAATTAATGGATGGCTTCAAGAATACCTCTATCAATATCCTAAAAAGTATGGATGAAATGGCGAGATGTTCAAAGAAAATTTTTCCGTATAACCAAAATGTTATAAAACACTGTAAACATCCCACCAGTCTTCGCAGCCATGAAAACCGTGCCCGCAATGCTCCAATAAATCCTCAACCAGGCTCAGAAAAAATGCCCTTGTCGTTTCAAATTCTGATAAATTTTGGAATAAATGGTGAAGGACACATTATATTCAGCACGGAAACGACACATCCCGTTGAAACGGTCTCTTGTCCAAAGAACCAAGTGTATTACAAGGGGCACTGTCGTGAAGTCACATGTGATGAAGGCTACCATCTTGAAAACAACGTCTGCCAACCTGATCCAATATCTCTAAATTCAGAAGATTCTTTGTCACGACTGCAAAACGCGAATGAGATGACGTCTCTGACATTCCGACTTAATGCTACTAAAGAGGAACTGAGTATTTTGGAACAGGACGGTGCAGAGGATATGATTATTGAAGAAATTGCCTTTGTCTTAAATGTGAGCTCCAGTCGCATCAGAGACCTTACAATATCTATTCGTAACGGTACGACACAGTCCCAGATGATAGAGATTGTTCATCCAAGACGGTTCCAGAAAAACAGAGCTACGGAGAACGAAGACTTCTCTCCAGAAATATTGACTACAAAAACTGAAGATGTGTCTAAAAATGTGTCTTCCGACAACCAACAAACTACCAAAGAAAAATCCCCCGATGAATCATTGTTCACAGTTGAATTTAAATTTGATCTTTTGGCAAGCATAAAAAAGACTGGGAAATTTAGCTCTTCTTTGTCTAGTGTGGTGGATAATATGAATCATTTGATAAGGACTCAAAGTTTTAGTTTAGAATTAAACGGCTCCGACTTCAAGATTACTGAAATAAAACAGCAACAACATAACGTATCACTGCATCTTATCAAATGGTGCAACCATGGAACGAAAATCATGAAAAAGGGAAGTGAAGTAGACATGAAGAATTCAACTGACAGTCGGACCGGACGAACAGTCCACGGTGTATTTGTGAATGAAACAGGGAAATTCTATGGACCGGATATGTTTGATTTTTATATTTACGTGTTGGGTGAATTCGGAAATATAAGCAACGTAACTATGAACGCCTTAGTTTTTCTCTGCGATACGCCTCGTATTCAAAACGGCGAGTGTGCAAAATTGACTTTGAACTCGACTTCGTACGAGAAATTGTACAATAATTCGGTTTTTTATGAAGGAGAAGTATTTGATCAGGATAAATATGAATATGTAGATGATATGCATGACAATATAAGGATATGCATATACAGTCAAGGCGTTTCCTCGAATATTCTGAAAACATCGTGCGGAATAGAATTTAAGAATATCATCGTGGCTGAGAGTTACCTAAGTTTCGTTTTGGGGATCATTTCAACTGTGATCACATTCCTTTCATTGATTACCTATGTTATTTTTAAAGAAATGAGAAATTTGCCCGGAGTGAGCACGGCTAACCTAACATTCGCACTCTTTCTTGCCGAACTACTTTTCATTGTCTCTGGGGCGCCTAAGCCAGATTGGTTGTGCCCAGTGATAGGCATGATGCTTCACTACCTATTTCTGGCGTCTTTCTTCTGGATGAATGTTATGTCGTATGACTTATATAAAACATTTGCCAACAAGTATATCCTCACAAGAGTGAGAAGCAAAGAGAAATACCTCCCACGTTATGCTCTGTATGCGTGGGGATCACCAGCTCTTATTGTGGCTGGTTGTGCTGTGATTGACTACACAGACATTATACCTAATGTAAAAATTAAATATGGTGGCGGTTCCCTCTCTCTTTCCCCAAATGGTTTTGTGGATCATGATTTGAGTGGCACCTTGGACAACAATACATTGTCTCGAAGGATGGAATCCACGGATGAAAACCTAGGCTGTTGGATACAGGAGCCTGTGGCTGCTCTTGTTGCCTTCGGTTCTCCAATGCTCCTCATTCTTTTTTCCAACAGCGTAATGTTTGTAAAAACTATTTACTGCATTCGCAAAACTTTGAAACTTGCAAACATCAAAACGAGGCGATCTTCGTTGAATCATGTGACCGGAAAATCTGATGTCAGTCTTTATGTACGCATGTCAACTATGATGGGTTTCACGTGGATTTCCGGTCTGGCCTCCTCGATAGTTAGTGCTTTTGCAGATACACCAACATTTACAATTTGTACGGTGTTACATGTTATGAGCTTTTTGTTTATCATATTTAATTGTTCACAGGGGTTGTTTATCTTTTTTGCATTCATTTGCAACCGAAGAGTTTGTAAATATTACAAAACTATGCTCTCAGGCTGCAAGTCTAAGGTTTCCGGAAAGAAAGTATTGAAATCTTCTAGAATTTCAATTAGTACAATCACTTCGTGGACATATACATTTGAAGTTGTTCAAATAACTGAAAAAGAAAAATGCCAAAATGAAAACTAACGCTATAAGTTTGTAAATACACTTGTATATATGTAATATATACATGTATAGATCGGTTTACCTATAGTAGGCAAAAAAATCAGTGATCTACATGTACATACGACAAGACGAGAGGGTGGAGGTGTATGATTTAAATATTTTGCCTGTTGTTGTATATTTGTTAATTTTGATTTTTATACGATGTCATGATCTGAACAAATTGTTTTTTTTATGGTTGCACCTGTCTTTTATAATTACTGATACGATGTTATACATGCATGTATGTATATGTGGGTGGACATTATGTCCACTTGCAAAAAAGTACAAAATATTTTTTTTTTCTTTTTTTGCAAATCGAGTAACTGCAATTTATTTAATTGAACTCCAAATTAAACTGTAAATTGATGAAATTTGGTGGTTCCAAAATTTTGCTAAAAGAATATTTTTAAACAATTCATTTGGTATATAATATTAAAACCAAGATGAGAGATACATGAATGATAAAGAATAAAACTAACAAAACCGAAGAATTATTTTGATGGCAAGATGTAATTTTACTAAATTGAACCTCTTTTTTGGTTTTGTATGTTGGAAAACACAGACTACTATAGCGCTTTAAATGTTAAAAATTGCGATGAAGTACTTCAGGTATCAACATGTCATGGTCTTAATCCCATATAGTAGTCTGAAGAAATTAACATATAATAGTTCTTAACTGTGCCTCCCACTTCCCCCAAGAAGCACCCACCCAAATTGACCTCATGAGAAATACTTATTGGTCCTCACAATGTAGTGTTGTAGGATAATTTCAAGTATGATGTATATACAAAGGTGTTTTTCTTCAGTGTTTTCTGAATCGTTTTGTTATATTTTGCATTTCCATATTTTTTCATGTTCAGACAAATAAATATTTGATGTTTTGTTTTCAAACTGTTGTTCATTCTCAATAAATTAATTTTCCTCTTAAATTAATCTTACGCATTTTGTAAAACGATGGTTTTCTAAACTTAAATTTTGGAAGTCATAGTTGGTTGCAATTTCCCCTTTCGGAAAATTGACGGGAAAATTACATCGAATTAGCAATGAAAAAAAAATGTATTGTGAAAATAATGTCCGTCTTGTTTGCTGAAACCGAAGGTGTACTTGAACAGGACCTGCTAGATAATCTTATCTGTGGTCATCCAAGCCAATGACCCAGTTTTGGTTCCGTCAGAGGATTGAAAGTTATCAAATCAGGGGTGAAAAGCTATCACTCTCACACATAAACAACTTTCCAAACCTTCAGTCATTTACATGTACATGTACTACTTCAATAATAATTGCAAAAATAGTTTTTAAGTCATTAATTTTTAGCTATTCTGTTCACAACTTAAAACATTTCAGAATTATTTTGCGAACATGGAAAGCAACTATTTTTGTTCAAGCAACATGGGAAGTATATTGGAATTATTTCGAACAATCGTCGACCTCAATGATTCATTCCGGAATCGAATAAAAATTTTAAAGAAGAGGGCCTTTTTTTACCCACTAGGGTATAACATTCTATTTGATGTATTAAATTTATGGGAAAACGTTTTCTTTAATTTATTTTGATGTTTTCGGTTTGGTTTGTTTGGTTGCTTTTTTGTTTTTTTTTTGTTTGTTGTTGTTGCTTTTTCGTTTTTGTCATATTTTGTTTTGTTTTGTTTTTTCCTTCTTTTTTTATCTTAGTTTTTGTTCCCCTCTCTCTCTCTCTTTTTTTTTTTTTTTTTTGAGGGGGGTGTCATTTTTATTTTTTTACAGCAGGACCTAAAAATAGTCAAAAGACGTACAACGATATAGTGGGTCCCTCTAAATGCGTGTTTTATTGAGTTTTGTTATCGGAAGACGAAAAAAAAGACACTGAAGCACGTTTTCTAAAAGTCAATTTTGAATCAAAAACGTCGTTCCGTTTTAAATAAGGATAGCAAAAAGATGTGATAGATAGATATTTTCTTGTAATGTCTTTAAAACAAAAAGTTTAATGTTAGTTTCATCTTGGATTTGTTATTGATATTTCGACAAATTACCACAAAATTATCGTACTTCGTTCATGAATGGTCATGTGGTTTGCAACTGAAACCCCTGAGTTTGAAACTCTGTACATGTGCATGTATATCAAATTCCAAAGCAATACACTGTATTTCAAAGGTTAACCAAAACAACTTATGGAAAACAAGTGTCAAACGCACAGACAGACAAACATTATACACTACAGGCGGAGTCAAAGAGCGGAGGTAAAACCTACAGTTCCTAAAGGAATCTATTGTCCCCGACTGTGTGAGAAATGAGCTTCATGTACAGCCGTTTTCTTGTCTTGAGATGAATAAAAGCAGTGAAGCACAGTTTTAATAACTTTACAACGGATATGCAAACAAAGAGTGTCTGTCTTGAGAGAGTAAAATTTTCAAGTATGTTATAAACAATTTCCTACAAACAGAATTGTTGATTAATGAAAAGTGAATCTGTCTTGTTTTACACCACTGAAGTTGTCCACATGCGACTGCATGGAACATAATCTGTCTTGTTAAGTTTTTATCTATCTAGAAATGTTCAAGCCATTTCGACAATAAGCTCTTTCAAAAAGAATTATTTATTTTTGACATTTTTTTTTTTAAAAAGCTATATGTTACTGTAAAAATGATGTACAATAGATTTTTTTCATGTCGTTTATACCAGTCATTCAATGACATCGAAAAAAGAAAACTACTTTTTTTAGCCTTTATTTATTTGGAAATAGCATAACTTTCAAACCAATAATGATTCAGGAACTTCTTTTACCTCTTCACGTAAGATGTTAAAATGTGGTGCTATGTCGTCAAATTAATTTATTTTAAAAAATTGCACGATTCATTTGTTATAGTATATCCCTGTTACTGATAATGATAGCATTGATAACTTGAATTTCTTCATATTTCCCAGAACATTCGAATTTGAGAGTCTGGGGTGAGAGAATATACATGTATGTGAAAAGGTATCCCCAATTACATGGATTGGTGATATTCTTTTAGCAGCATATTAATTATCAATGTTTGATTATATAATAAAAATGATTCAGCATTCAGTGTTATGTGAACTAAATAGGAATTAATAATTATCTGTATTTTATGTAAATGAAGGGCCAAGTTCGAATAAATTTACTATTATTTTCGTATAGTATAGATGTTATTCCTACAAATTCCTACAAGCAAGAGCCTCATCAATATCTCGAATAATCAGATTTCTCGAAGTCTTTTCTCGGTCCCATCGAGTTTGAGATAACGAGGTTTGAATATTTATTATCAGTATCTGTATAATATTTATTTAAAATGTCTTATTAAAATGACTGACTACTCTTTCAACATGTTACACAGCAAATCATCCTTTACAGTTACAATGAAGTAAGAAATAAAAGAAAAAATATTCACTATATGTAAAAAGAAGTCTACAGGCAATCTGTGACGTCATCCAAGGAAACCTCCAAGTATTGCAACTAGAGCGATAATTAAAACCACTAGGCAAATCATGATCATGATTTTCTTCTGCAAAGAAAAGAAAAAAGTCATAAATATACAATTCAATGGTACTTTTGAAGTTTCACACACTCAGAAATTTGCACAAAATCATATAGTTTACCTGGTTATTGCTAAGGGCAAAAAAGGTTAAGATTTAGATATCTGAGTCTATCAATTTAAAAAAAATTGATAGCTTTTAAGTTTTCAAAAAAGGTAAAAATTAGCTATCAAGTTTTTAAAAAAGTTAAGATTTAACTATGAAGTTTTTTTTTAAAAAAAGTAAGCTTTAGATATCAATATTTAAAAGAAAAATCATATTTATTCTAAACAGAGATATTTTTATGACAGTATCTAAATCGCTACATTCGATGGCGTAAAAGGTTCAAAGATTATTCCTGGTAGTGATCTGTGAAACACTTTAGGGATAAATAACACAAACACACAAACTTTTTTTTCCTGAAATCAGCAATATTTCTCATAGATTTATATTCAAATAGGTAGCCTGAATAATGTTTGCCAGGTAAAGTGGGAGAATTTTGTCACAATGTTAAATGTGTGTGCAACATTTTGTATAGAATTACATAGAAAACGACACAAAGTTGCCTATCTATCTAAGTACCTAAAAAAAACAAAAACAAAAAACAAAAAAAAAAACAACTTACGATTTCTTTACATTTTTTTTTTTACATCTTTACATGGATTTAATTCTTATTCATGTCATTTCTATTCAAAATCAAAAAAACATATTAGATCAATCCATGCAATTTTTGTCCCTGTCATGTATCCTTTTAAAAAGATGAGAATGGTAACTTACACTCGGTGCATTATATTAATTTTTTTCATCCTTTAGATATATGATTAAAACCACATAAAAACATAGTTCTACATTTCAGAAAGCCTGATTTCTCTATGCGAAACAAGAACAACAATTTATGAAGTCAAGCAATATTTAAGTCATGGTTAACTACCATTGACACTGGGTCTAACATACCTAAATATTAGTATTCCTTATATTTGAATCTTTTCTCTACATTGCAAATTATAGTTTTCCGAAAAATAGTATACCATAAAGCAAATATTTTGATATGTACATTTCGTTCACATTTTATAGTATATAATACTATGTATTTTAATTGAATGCGTACAATGAATGGGACACAGCGGAATATTTTTAAATATTGGATCAAATTTTTAAAAATCATGTTTTAAATCAAAAATTTTCTGTGTGGAGGCTACATGTAAAACTTACATGCTAACTTGAATTTTGCATTTACCTCCACCCAGAATATTAAAAAATTACATGATATTTGGGGACGACCACTTGATATTGAAAGGGGTACTGGCAGATTTTGGAGATAAATATATCTGTCCTTGAAAATGTTGACAATAAATATTTTGCATGTCCTGCAATGTGAAGAAAATAAATAGTCTAAATTTAACTGGTGGTACTTAACCCACCCACACCCACCCCAAAACAGAGTTTCTGTCAATTTTTTCCAGGGAAGAAAATAAATTGTCTCTGCTAAACTTGGAAATAAATAAATCAAATGGATGAAATATTAAAATTTTGCTACAAATACATGGTGTTACGTGTGGTTAGTTTCGAAATAAAAAATATGAATTTTACAAATTTAGAATGTGTTGTAAAATGTACACAAAGCAGTCTTTAAAATCAAAGTACTAAAGAACGGAGGCATGAACATTATAAATCAAA